TCCTGCAGACTTGTAAGGAGGGATTCTGTGAAATTGAACTTATAGATGACAATTTTTTTCAATTTTAAAATTATTTTTATTTTTATTGGATATCTTAATTTTAATTTGTATCCATCCAATTTTCGATAATTTTTTGCTTTTGAAAATAAAAAAAATATTTTACAAGAATCACAAAAATGACAATGTGAAGTTTAAAATTATTTATTTTAACCATTGTATTTTTTCAAACATTTTTCTAATAAAAAACATTTAGTAAAATATTTAAAATAATTGTTATACCTGTCTACTAGAGACTGAGTTGACCGAATGAGTTCATATCTCTGATTAGCTCCTGAACCAAACCCAAGCCTTCGTTTCAACTCCATCTTCACGTCAGACATTCGAGTCTAATAATAATAATAATAATAATAATAATAATAATAATAATAATAATAACAATAATAATAATAATAATAATAATAATAATAATAATAATAATAATAATAATAATAATAATAATAATAATAATAATAATAATAATAATAATAATAATAATAATAATAATAATAATAATAATAATAATAATAATAATAATAATAATAATAATAATAATAATAATAATAATAATAATAATAATAATAATAATAATAATAATAATAATAATAATAATAATAATAATAATAATAATAATAATAATAATAATAATAATAATAATAATAATAATAATAATAATAATAATAATAATAATAANTCAATACAAGGATGGGTGGGAGGGGACTGGTCAATACAGGAATATGAAGGGTAAGGGCTAATTTAGCCAATTAAATATTCAAGGATGAAGTGCGGTTTGGAAAGTAATCTTCCAGCATTCAATATTTTGCCCCATCCCTAAATATTAATCGTTTTTTACCAGGAAGCAATAATTTACTGACCAGCGGTAAAAATATGAAGGTTTAGCAGCCAGATAGTATCTTCAGGCAGTGCCCAGTATTCAATTATATATCACTAAACAGAAGATTCATATTCATCTTTCCAATTGTTCTGTCCGCCATGTTTTATTTGATATCACTCTGCCATATTTTCTTGAATTATGGCGGGAAAAGATGAAACTCGTGTATGAAGGAGAATAGTGAGGGTTTGCAGGTATAATCTGGCAGGTGTGGTTTAATATCCCTGGACACCACCTGATCAGTGGTATCTTCTTCTCCAGATAGTTAGTTAGGATCAGTGTCGCGTGTCCAGACTGTGTCTGTACGGTACCGTACTGTACCCTTGTGCCGACACGGCGCTAGCGGCTCCCTTACTGTACTCCTCGGAACTCGGAAGAAAGATTTCCCTCTCTTTCTGTTTCCTGAAAAAAATATTCTTTGTTAGATTACAGTGAATGATGGATTCGTTGAAATCTTAAGGTTCGGGTTAAAATTTCACCATGAAGGAATGAATACATTACGATTTTTAAAAAGTCTACACTCTATTTGAAGGACAGGCAAGGTGCAGTTACTCCCCTCCCCCCTCCAGCATCAAGCTCCTTTTATAATCCAGGAAATAATAAA